GGCGGCGGGCGGCCGCCGGGCCCCGACTCCTCGCTGGAGCCCTACGTGCAGACCCGCATCTTTAAGATCATCGTGATCGGAGACTCTAACGTGGGCAAGACGTGCCTGACCTTCCGCTTCTGCGGGGGCACCTTCCCCGACAAGACCGAGGCCACCATCGGCGTGGACTTTCGCGAGAAGACGGTGGAGATCGAAGGGGAGCGCATCAAGGTGGGCCGCGGCGGCACCGGCACCGAGCCCGGGGCTGGCCGGCAGCGGCCCGGGCGGCAAAGGCGGCCCGTCCCTGCCCCAACCCCTGCCCCGGGTCCTTGCCCCGCAAAGGCCCCTCGGGGGCTTTTCTGTTCTCGGTCCGACTCGAGGGAGGGGAAGAGGGGGAGGTTTCTCATCCCCGTGTTGCAGAGATGCTTTCTGAAGCCGTCGCTGCGCTGCGTTGTCGCTATTTATGCGGTTTGCTCGAGGCTGCAGGCGGTCTGAAACCGTAGCTTGGGCTGAAACGCTGCTGTCCTGCTCTCCCGACACCCAGCGTAACCGGGTCCTCGAAGGGTCAGGGTGGCCCTCGGCTTCAGCACCTGGACCAAAAGAGAGGCGAAGCTGCGGGGAGCTGGGGGAAGGAGCTGTATGCAGAAACCAATGTGTTTTCGGGGGAGCAGATGGTTGTAGGCTGGCAGTGGCTGCGCTGGAAGGCCAGGAGCTTGCACGAGCTGGTTGCAGTGGGCTTGGCAGCTGTGAGAGTAATGCTGAAGACTGCTGTCAGCGAGCACTGGGAGGGTGCAATTTCAGCAGAACTAGAATAGGACAGATTTGCTGTACGAAGGCCAGGGTGACACCTGGAAGAAATGCATCAGCCCAAACCTGAAGAGCTCTGGCTGATGTGCCGGAGCAGATCTGTAGATCTACAGCAACTGGTAGGAGACAGCCTGGGGAGCACAGCTTGCAGCTGAGCTTGGCCTGCCCGGTTAGGTGGATGAGCACCGACAGCCGTCTGTGTGTAAGACTGACTGCTGGAAGAAGCAAATCTTGCTATTTTGCTGACAGATGGGTGATCAAAAGTTGAGGGACTAATCACAATGAAATCAGAGCTACTATCATTGGGTAAGAACTTTAGCCGTCCTTTTAATGTCCATAAACATTTTTATCTGTCCTTTAAGAGGAGAGGTGCTCATTTTTCCCCCCACCTTCCCCAGCTCTATCCAACACCACATAGCTGTGCTGTTGTAAGCTGTAGTGCAGGCTGGCATGAAGCCTGTCTTACTGCCACCAGTCAGAAAACATTGCCAGGCTTTCTACCTTTGGATATTATTTGTGCTCCAGCAGGCAGGAGTGGGAGGCAGTGCAGCAAATTGGCCCTTTCCTGGGACCATGCATCCACGAGGGGAGGTGAGAGAACTACCTTCCCTCTTCTGCTCTGCCCAGATGGGAGAGACTGGCAGGGAAATGCATGAGCAGCAGCTCTTCTTTGCCAGCATTTTTCCACTCTGAAAGACTCTGGGGTGGGCACTGTCTCAGTGGGGTACAGGGTGATTTGGATTAACCCCAGACACTTGTTCGGAAATTGCCAGTTCCAGGCTTCAAGACATTACCTACAACGGCCAGGAGAACTCAGAGAGTCACAGTCTAACAGCAAAGTGTGGGTTGGAAGGGACCGCTGGAGGTCATCTGCTCCAGCTCCCCTGCTGAAGCCAGGCAACCCAGAGCCGATTGCCCAGGACCACGGCCAGATGGCTTTTGAGTATCTCTAAGGATGGAGGCTCCACAACCACTCTGGGCAACCTGTGCCAGTGCTCAGGCTCCCTCACGGTGAAAGGTGTTTTCTGATGTTCAGAGGGAACCTCCTGTGTTTCAGTGTGTGCCCACTGCCTCTGCTCTTGGCGCTGGACACCAGTGAAAAGAGCTGGGCTCTGTCCTCTTTGTAGTCTCCCTTCAGGTATCTATACACATTGGTAAGATTCCCCCCTGAGCCTTCTCTTCTCCAGGCTAAACAGTCCCGGCTCTCTCAGACTTTCCTCGTAGGAGAAACACTCCAGTCCCTTCAACATCTTTGTGGCCCTTTGCTGGACTCTCAGTCCATGCCTCTCCTCTGCTGGGGAGCCCAGAACTGAACACAGCACTCCAGCACTGAATAAAGGGGATGAATCACCTCCTTCAGCCTGCTGGCAATACTTTGTTTAATGCAGCCCAGAATACCATTCACTGCCTTTGCTGCAAGGGCACACTGTTGGCTCATGTCAGCCTGGTGTCCCTCAGGACCCTAAGTCCTGTTCTGTACAGCTGCTTTCCAGCTGAGTGGTCCCCAGCAGGTACTGGTGCCTGGAGTTGTTCCTCCCCAGGGGCAGGAATTGGCACTTCTCTTTGTTGAACTTCATGAAGTTCCTGTTAGTGCATTTCTCCAGCCTGTTGAGGTCCCTCTGGATGGCAGTACAACCATCTCACATCCTAGCCATGCTCCTCCCAGTTTGGTGTCATCTGCACACTTGCTGAGGGTGCTGAGGGCAATCTGGATGGTGATGCAGGTCATTAATGAAGATGTTGAACAGGGCTGGGCCCAGTATTGACTCCTGGGGTACACTGCTAGTTACCAGTGTTCAACTAGACTTTGTGTCACTGATCACCACCTTCTAGGCCCAGATGTTCAGCCAGCTTCCAATCCATCTCACTGCTCAACCAGCCCACGAGCTTGTTGGCTTCTGTCACTTGGGCCAGGAAGTTGTCATCAGTGCCGTCCAGGAACCTCCTGGATTGCTCATGCCCTGCTGCGTTTCCTTCCAGCAGCTACTGGGGTGGTTGAATTCCTCTGTGAGACCAGGGCCTGCCAACATGAGGCTGCTCCTATCTGTCTCTAGAGCACCTCAGCCTGCTAGTCAGGTGGCCTATAGCAGACACCCCTTACAATGTCGCCTGTGCCGGTCTGCTTTTTAATCCTCACCCACAAGCTCTTGGTTGGCTCCTCACCCATCCCCACGCAGAGTTCCATGCCCTCCTGCTGCTCTGTCACACAAAGGGTGGCTCCCCCTCCTCATTTTCTCCTTGCCCTGACTCCTCTGTACCTACCACCATGTAATTGTTGGGGTTCTCTTTTATGGCATAGGATTAGGTAGACAAATGTCCTGATCTGGTGCAAGAATGTCTGTGAAATGACAAGTGCTTTGTGTGCTTTGTTTCTGTGGTGGGGATGGTGGTCAAGGTGGCATCAGGAAAAGGTTGAGAAAGAGGGAGCAGTGCTCCCTGAATGAAAGTGCTGATGTGATCTCTCTTATTAGATGAGCTGGGCTTGCCTGGTTGAATTACACAAGCATGTGCGTTGTTGTATACAGCCTTGGGCACTGTCAGTGTAGGCCCAAAAGCTTGTGTAACTCATCCATCAATCCTGGTTCGTCTAATAAGAGGTTGCCTCTCCCTGCGAGGCTCGCCTGGCCTGCCTCCTGCCTCAGGGCTGTCAAAGATGGACCCATGGGAAGCCCTTCTGCATCTTCCTGCAGGGAGTTCAACGAGCCGGCTGCGCCTGAAGCAGCAGGCCTTGGCTCGGGGCAGACGCTTGGCGCTCCTATAGTCTTCTTTCTTGTCTGCTTTGCTTCCCAGGTGCAAGTGTGGGACACGGCTGGCCAGGAGAGGTTTCGGAAGAGCATGGTAGAGCATTACTACCGCAACGTGCATGCCGTCGTCTTTGTTTACGACGTCACGAAGATGACCTCCTTCACCAACCTCAAGACATGGATCGAGGAGTGCAACGGGCACGCAGTGCCCCCCCTCGTCCCCAGGGTGCTCGTGGGGAACAAGTGTGACTTGAAAGACCTGATCCAAGTGCCATCCAGCATGGCTCTGAAGTTCGCCGACGCTCACAACATGCTTTTGTTTGAGACCTCGGCCAAGGACCCTAAGGAGAGCCAGAACGTGGACGCCATTTTCATGTGCCTGGCCTGCCGGCTGAAGGCGCAGCGGTCGCTTCTCTGCCGGGACCTGGAGGGGCGGCCGGGCCAGGCTCGCAGGCTGGAGCCAACACACGATGCCAGCGGTAAAAACTCCTGCCCGTGCTGAGCACGGCTCCCGCCGCCATCTGTCACGGTCACCCCAATAAAGTCTCTGCGGCTCCAGTCAGCTCTGGGTGTTGCTTTGCGCGGCTCGGCTCGGTCCGGCTCGGTCCGCCCCGGCTCGGCTCGGGCGGGGGGCGGCGCGCATGCGCGGCGCCGGCAAGGCGCATGCGCAGTGTGCGGCGGCGCCACCATGAAGTAGGTCGGCGGGGCGCGGAGGGAGGGAGGGGAGGTCTGGGCCCGGTCCCGGTCCCGGTCCCGGTCCCGGTGCTGACGGTGCCCTCGCCCTCAGCCCCCTGACGAAGGTGAAGCTGATCAACGAGCTGAACGCGCGGGAGGCGGAGCTGGGCGTGCAGGAGGCGGTCTCGTGGCACGCGGAGTACAAGGACAGCGCCTGGATCTTCGTCGGTATGGGCCGGGGACCGGGGAGGGGTGGTGGGCCTGGGCCCGGCGGGGCCTGCGCGGTACCGGTGCCCCCTTCCGTCCTCTCCCTCTCCCCACAGGCGGGCTGCACTACGAGCTGACGGAGGGGGATGTCATCTGCGTGTTCTCGCAGTAAGTGCCGCAGCCCTCCCCGCCCCGTGCCCCCGCCGTGCCCCTGCCGCTGCCTGGGGTGCTGAGAGTGTGTTGCAGGTACGGGGAGGTCGTCAATATTAACCTGGTGCGGGACAAGAAGACCGGCAAGTCAAAAGGCTTTTGCTTTCTGTGCTATGAGGACCAGAGGAGCACCATTCTCGCTGTTGATAACTTCAATGGGATCAAGGTGAGTGAAGGAGCCTGGGATGCCGTCCTGCCTGCCTGCCGTGGCTCCCGAGGTGCTGCTTCACATCAAACGGGAGCCCTGACAGCATGGGTCACTGGCGACCCGCAGCGCGTGGGGAGCTGGTCTGTACCCTTGCCAACAGCATGATTCCTCTCGTAGATCAAAGGAAGGACGATTCGAGTGGACCACGTGGCCAACTATCGGCCCCCCAAAGACTCCGATGACTTAGATGAGGTGACAAAAGCCCTCCATGCAAAGGGTTGTGGAGTTAAAACGCCACCTCATACGTCATCCGATTCCCTGTCGGAAGATGATGATGTGCCCGTAAAAAAGCAAAAAGGTGAGGTGTGTTCCTGCCAGTCTTGACCCCAGGTGGGAGTCTCTGCACAGAGATCTCAGCCTCGCAAGGGCCCTTTCCTTGAGGGAACACCAAGGATGGGTGTGCTCCTGAAAAGAGCCACAGCCCTGATGTCCAGGCTTTGCGTTGTGATCCCCTGAGGGGTATCAGAGTGCCTGTATTTAGCCCTTATCTGTGAGTGTCCTCCCCCTGCCTCTGAAGAGCTGTATCTTGCAAACAATAACAGCACTTTTCCTGGAAAAAAGCCTGCCAGGCTGCAGGGTTACTGCATGGGGGAGCAGTGCTGTGGGGGAAAGGGAGAGGGAAGGCTTAGGAAAAGCACCGCTTAATCTTAAAATCTAGGTGCTGGTACTGTAGGACTGGAGTGCTGTAGATGTATGGAATGACCACTGTGTAGCCTATGCAAGATAACTGGATTGAATAGAACATAAAACCAGCAGATGTAGGTGAGATTCTGTGGCTGGAAACTGAAGCCAAAGATAGTAGGGGGGGAGTTGGACTAGGTGACCTTTAAAGGTCCCTTCCAACTCCAACTATTCTATGATTCTATGAAAGTAGACCTAAAAATGCAGTGTAAGTTAAACCATCTGAGTGCTTGTATACCTCCTGTTCTCAGTGGTTGCAGCAGGACTTGTTGCTCTATCCCTTTCAGAAGAAAAGGGAAAGGTGTAAAGTACATCCAAATTGAACTTGAACGAACGTGCCTCATAAAGGACCAGCCTGTGCAACTATACTGATGGATTTTTTTAAGCAGCCATTAGGGTTTTTTCCATCTGTGCGGCAGAGATCTTGAAAAGTTATGCTTGTCAGAGCCAGCGGAGTGCTAGAAGCAGTGACTTGCAGTAGGAGCTGCTTACTGTGGCTTGCCAACCACTTCCAGGTGGCATCCACCCGTGCTGGGTTGTAGCTCCCAGGACAAGCCAGTTAGGTGCGGTGACGGTGGGGTGGAGGTGTCTGTTGTTCTGAAATTGGCTTGGAGCTCACGGCATGGCGTGCAGAGGATCCTTCTCTCCCACAGCCAGGCTTTGCCGGTGGCAGAGGGGTGTTAGCAGCAGGTGTTTGGGGCCATCTTGTAGCTACAGCTGAGCCCTTCTGCTGTCGGGGTTTGAGACCTGTCTTTGCTGTGCTGCTGCCCCCCCATCAAGAGAGGAGCTCAGCACTGTGTTGCATGGAGGAGGACACAGGATGGATGGGGCCTTAGCATGGGGCGGAGGGGCATGTCGGTCAGGCGAGAGTCCTAGTTTGAGAGAAGGCTTGGAGGAAAGAAAATAGGCAACAAAACTAAGGGTGGGGATAAGATGTTGCTCCAGAGTGTCGAGGAGATGCACAAAAGTGAGAGGGGCAAAGGACAGCGAAGAGGGAAAAGAATCGTTGGGTGGGGAGAAGAGAATTTCCACAGAGCAGATCACGATGTTCTTATTGCATGGATGTTACTGGGGAAGGAGAATGAAAGGAAGGTGCTTGATACCCCAAGCTGTGTTGAAGTGCCTGAAGGCAGCCTTGCTGGGAGGAACTTGATGTGGCGAGTGTTAAAGAAGGAAGCAGGATGGCTCAGGCTGGAGGAGAAAAGTGTCAGGGTTGAAAGTGGAATAGGATCTCTCTGAGGGGGGAAACAGGCTGTGAAGCTTGGGTGGAGGGGGACAGAGCCTAAAATGGGAGGAGATTGGAAAGGTGGTAGGCAGAGCCTGGGGAGCTGAGGTGATGCTTGCAGGACCGTCCATCCCAAAAGGTGAACCTTTTATTTCAGAAAAGGAGAAAAGTAGACAGGAGCAGCAAAAGCAGAGCTCGCAGGCTGTGAAGAGGGTGGCAGCTGCAGAGGAGGCACACCCCAGGATCAAGATTAAGAAGGAGAAGGAGGACCCGGCCTATGACCGCTACGCCAGCGGGAGCCAGCAGCCCTGGAAGGGCTCCGAGGGGAAGCCTGTGAGCAGGACGCAGCGAGACGAGGAAGAGCGGAGGCACCAGAGGCCTTTGGAGAGAAGAGGGGAAAAGAGCTGCCAGGACCAGAGGGGACAAAGCGGTTTGTGGGAAGAGAGGGAGAAGAGAGAGGAGGTTGGCAGGAAGGGTGACGGGCACAGCAGCCGGCGAGAAGAGTGTCCCGAGGGAGGCAGATCCCGGGAGCGCTGGGAGCCCCATCCCAGGCACAGGGAGCGGGGCTCTGTGAGAGGCTCCAGCCGCTGCTGAGCCCTGGGGCCAGCGCTTGGGAGGACCAAAAGCCTGCCCAAAAACCTGCTCTGAGCCTCCTCGGGGCAGAGCTGGGGGGCACCGCGGCTGGACTGTTCACCTCCAACAGCTTCCACTTGGTTTCCCATTACATCCTCAGATGGGGCTCTCCTTGCTGCCCGTGCTGCGGACTGGGACGCAAGGGGTTTTTTGCCTCCTTCAGCCCTTTTTGCGGCGTTGGACTTGTGCTGCCGCGTGAAGATGGTCGCTGGGAGCGGCAGGATGCTCTCCTTCCCAAAATTGCCCAGCTCCGTCAGTCCTGGCAGAGGGTTTCCCCACTCTTGGGCCGCAGGGAGAGAGCGGTGGGTGTTTTGTTGGCTCCATGCGCTGGCTTTGGGCCCTGAGCCCACCCAGCGCTTCTCCGGGCTGCTGGGCTGGATCCCCAGACCCACGCTGCTGCCTGGGGGCCACTTACTGTTGAAACACCTCTGAATAAAAGTTACCTGTGAACCAGAAGGCAGCCCTTGGAGTAGCGTTCCTCTTTCCCGGTGACCGGCGAAGGCGTGTGTTTTTCTGATTTGACCCGAAAATTGAGAGTGAGGGATAAGGGGTGGGTGGGGGGG